TCTATATCTCTGATCGACACGGTAGGGTTTGATGACCCGGAACGAGATGGAGACGCCAAAATCAATTGAACTATTTGATATTAGGGTTGATTTCTCGGGTGTAAAAACGTAAGCCTTGAATATTTGATCAAAATTACTCAATGCAAGTTCCTGAGCTGAGTGGCTATTGATATTCGAACAACCTGCTGCTAATTTGATGGTTGAAGAGGAACAGAATTTCAAACTGATCCACCAAAGGTTAAGCGTAGGAGATAATCTATAAGATTGCCGTGAATCCGTTAAAAAAACAGTTCTCATTTCAACTTGATAATGGTGTTAAAAAATCACCCGAGTTCAAAAATAATAAGTTTGTTTTTGGAGCAAGTCTATTAGTCAGCATGATTCAATCGCAACAAAAATTATCCTTTTCGAAACTAAATGGCGCAGCAAATTAATTTTGCGCCACAGGAGGACGTGAAATGATGAAACTGTACCCACTGCTCGTTCAAACGCGAAAATAATATCTAAAATATAGCCCAACTAACAAGAAATGGTGCTTTACAATCAAACTCATCTACTGAAAGTTTTTTGTGAAATGCATCTTGGGCTTGGAAAAGAGCATTTCATTGTCCGTTCAATTATCACAATTACTTAACATTTTCCTGAAAAGTTTTATATATTTCTTTTTTTTGTTTCTTGTTATTTTTATACATTCTTCAGTTTAAAAAATTCCGGAAAATAAAGCAGCAACAGGTATATTGACGATCTGCAGACTCAATACACAGAAACAATAGGAGGACAAATCAATTAACCACTTAGACGCGGACTACCGTCAAATAACCTGTTAGTTTTTAAAAAAAACTAGGTTAAAGACCAAATCCCTATTGGAATTTTGGACTCATTGAATTTTTGCAATGTTCATATTTATCTATCCGTTAATTAAATTTTAAATTTTCTCTAACTATTGTTTCAACTCTGGTTTTTATCAGGAAGTTTGACTATCTAAGATGAGACTTATAGCATTAGGATTAATTATTAAAGAGTCAAGTACGAAAGCACTTGTCCCTCTCAGTAAATTTCAAAAAAAAACTTCAGTGCCTCATGTCAATGAGTTCAGTTGCACAACCTGCTATCAGACAAAACCCGCAATGCCAAAATCTTCCATGTTTCGCCATAAATCCAAGGATGCATGAGGACTTCCACTTTCGGGAATGTGTTTTTCCACGGAAACAGGTAGACTTCTAAATCTCTGATTGACACGGTAGGGTTTGATGACCCGGAACGAGATGCAGACGCCACAATCAATTGACCTATTTGATATTAGGGATAATTTCTCGGGTGTAAAAACGTAAGCCTTGAAAAAATGATTAAAATAACTCAATGGAAGATCCTGAGCTGAGTGGCCATTGATATTCGAACAAGCTGCTACTGGTTCGATGGTTGAAGAGGAACCGAATTTCAACCTGATCCACTAAAAGGATTAGTGTAAGAAATAATCTCAAAGATTGTCGTGGGTCCCGAAAAAAACTAAAGAGTTTTCATTTCAACTTAAAAATGGTGTTAAAAAAACCACCCGCGAGTTCAAAAAAATAAAGTTGTTTTTGGAGCAACTCCAATGGTCAGATTGCATCAATCGCAACAAAGTTTATGCTTTTTTGAAACCTAATGGGGCAGCAAATTAGTTTTGCGACACAGGAGGGCGTGAAATGAGGAAGATGCACCCACAGCTCGTTCAAAAGCAAAAATAATATCTAAAATATATGCCAACTAACAAGAAATGGTGCTTTACAGTCAAACTAATTCACTGATTTCTTTTTTGTAAATTTCACCTTGAGCTTGGAATAGAGCATTTCATTGTGCGTTTAATTATCACAATTACCTGAAAATTTCTTTAAAAGTTTTATTTACTTTTTTTTGTTTCTTGTTATTCTTATAAATTCGTCAGTTTTAAAATTTCCGGAAAAAATAAAGCAGCAACATGGATATTGACGATCTGAAGACTCAACACTCTGAAAAACAGTAGGTGGACAAATCATTTAATAACTTACACGCGGACTACCGTCAAATAACAAATTAGTTTAAAGGAAAAACTAGGTAATGATCCCATCCCTTGTGGGATTAATACTTATTCAATTTTGCAAAATTCATATTTAACTATCCGTTATTTCAATTTCTAATTTTCTCTTACTATTGGTTTAACGCTAGTTTTTATCAGGAAGTTTGCCTATCTAAGCTCAGACTTATAGCATTTGGATTGATTATTAAAGAGACAAGTAGGAAAGCACTTGTCCCTCTCAGTAAATTTCGAGAAGTAACTTCAATGCCTGATTCCAATGAGTTCAGTTGCGCCACCTGGTATCAAAAAAAAATCCGCAACGCCAAAATCTTCCCTGTTGCGGCAAAAACCCAAGGATGCACAGGGACTTCCACTTTTGGGAATGTGTTCTTCAACGGAAATAGGGACACTTCTATATCTCTGATCGACACGGTAGGGTTCGATGACCCGGAACGATATGCAGACGCCACAATCAATTGACCTATTTGATATTAGGGATGATTTCTCGGGTGTAAAAACGTAAGCCTTGTATATTTGATAGAAATACTCAATGTAAGTTACTGAGCTGATGGGCCATTGATATTCGAACGAGCTGCTGCTTATTTGATGGTTGAAGAGGAACAGAATTTCAACTGATTCACCAAAGGCTAAGCGTAAGAGATAATCTAAAATATTGTCGTGAGTCCGTGAAAAAAATAAAAAGTTTTCGTTTCAACTTGATAATTGTGTTAAATGAGTTCAAAAATAATAGGATTGTTTTTGGAGCAACTCAGCTTGCAACTCAGCAAGTCAGCTTGCAATAATCGCAACAAAATTAATTCTTTTTCGAAACTAAATAGCGCAGGAAAATAGTTTTGCGACACAGGAGGGCGTGAAATTAGGATTGCGAAATTAGGAGGGCGTAAAATTAGGAAGGCGTGAAATTTGGCACAGCTCGTTCAAATGCGAAAAAATAATATCTAAAATATAGCCCAACTAACAAGAAACGGTGCTTTACAATCAAATTCATTCACTGAATTTTTTTGTGAATTGCACCTTGAGCTTGGAAAAGAACATTTCATTGTGCGTTCAATTATCACAATTAACTAACATTCTCCTTAAAAATGTTATAATTATACTTATTGTTTCTTGTTATTTTTATAAATTCTTCAGTTTTAAAATTTACCTTCAACTCGAATCTGTGGGTTTAGCCAATCAGAATTGAAGTTGAAGGTACCCCTCACTCTTAACTAAAAATCATTTTAATTTCAACTTATCTACCGTCAAATACCTCCTCTCTCAGCTCTAAATACTTCAATTTTAACTGAACTACCGCCAAATACCTCCTCTCTCAGCTCTAAATACTTTAATTCCAACTTAACTACCGTCAAATACCTCCTCTCTCAGCTCTAAATACTTTAATTCCAACTTAACTACCGTCAACTACCTCCTCTCTCAACTGTACGTCAATCTATCTTTTTACTCAGTACCGTTTACTCAATTTATTGCTCAAAATAATCTTAGTGCAACACAGCAACCTCATGTTCTCGGTAGAATTTTTGCTTGATCTAGTACAATTACAAGTGCATGAAACAGTCTCTGGAGTTTTTCTGGCACGAATGGACATCCCAATCCAACGAACATCATATAACGCAAGTATCCATGAAGGAGAACCATTTTGGAGAAATGCAAATGATGGAGAAATAGGCTGAGCATGTGGGAATGAACTAACCCGACCCTCTTGATTCTAGATATGTGGCTCAATCAGTCGAAGACTTCCTCTTTCCTTGGGAGGAAGCAGGATCAGCCAAAAAACACCATCACATTAGATGAAGATGAGGGCTTCTCAGAAACAATGACGTCTCCAGCTCCACAACAACCTCGTTCAGCTCTGCGTTCTATTGAAAACCTCCAGAACTTTCTGCTGCTTGATAGCTCTTTTATTGAACATTTTTGTAAACAATTGATGTTTGATGTTTATTTCGTTTTTTTTTGTAATAGTTAATTCCTTCAGTTTCTTTTTAATTATGAGAATAGATGAGAAGTTCAAGGTAAAACATTGAAAAACAATTAGAATACAGCCTAATTAGCGCCCAAAATTTGCACACATGTTGAAAAACTTGGTTAATATTTGCACACATATTGAAAAAAACACTAGAAAATTTGTACACAAGTAAAAAAGACCTTATGGTTTTTTTGCATCGTCAAAAAGTTTTAAAAAAAAACTCCGTAGCCTGGTGAAAAGAAGTTCAGCTGCACAACGATGTTTCAGACAATGCCAACAATGGCAAACTCTTCCCCGTTTTCGCAGAGGCCCAAGGATGCATGGGGACTACCACCTTGGGAAATAAGTTCTTCAATGGCAGCAGTGAGACTCCTATATCTCTGATTGAAACAATAGGGTTTGATGATTCCCCAGACGCCACTATCAACTCGGATCTACTTGTTTTTAGAGATGGTAAATATTGTTTACAAGTGTGTTCCTTGATTGTTTGATGAAGGTAACTAAATGGGAGTTCCTATGCTATCTGGCCAGTTGACATTTGCTAGAGCTGCTGCTAATTCAATGCTCGAAGAAGAACAGAATTTCAGAGTGATAAAACAAAGGCCAGGTATCAGAGATAATATGAAATACTCCTTTGAATCCGTTGATAAAGAACTAGAGAGTTATGGAACAACTCTTATTGTCAACTTGCATCAATCACAACGAAGCTTATGCTCTAACGGAATTAATCGGCGCAGCAAACCAGTTTTGCGTGAAATGAGGAAGAAGAACCCACAGCTTCTACAAAGGCCCAAATATTATCTACAATAAAGCTCAATAAGCAGAAAATGGTGTTTGGCAAGCAAACATATTCACTTAATTTCTTTTTGAATTGCACCTTGAGCTTATTATTGAGCCTTTCATAGTGCGCAGAATTCTCATTATTACCTAATAAATTCTTCACAAATTTTAGATACTTTTTGTTTCTAGTTATTCTTATGAATTTAATAAGTTGAGATAGAATTTTTATAAAATGCGAGAAAAAAAACCCGCAATACGGATCTTGACGAACTGAACACCCAATACCCAGAGAGACGCAACCAGGACAAACCGATGAGAAACCACAGGCAAATGAAGTGTTAATTTAAAGGTAAAAAATGGGTATTGACGCCATACCTTCTGGGGTTTAAAACTGTTGTTCATACATTTCTTATAACCTTCAAAATTAACTATCCAGTAAGTGAAAGATTGTTCTTCTTTATGTATTGTTTCAACTTAGCTTTTGTCAAGAAATTTGACGATCTACGACGAGACTTATAGCATTGAGATTCATTACTGAGGACACAAGAGAGTCTACACGAGAGAACTTGTCGCTGTCAGTTAACTTCGAAAAACTCCGTTGCATGATGTAAACGTGTTCAGTTGCACACCGTGGTTTCAGACAAAGCCCACATCTCCAAACTCTTCCATGATTCGGTAGAGACCCAAGTGTGCAAGTAGGCAACAGGGAGACTTCTATATCTCTGATCGACTCAATAGAGTTTGATGACCCACCAGAACGAGATGCAGACGCCACTATCAACTCGGCCCTACTTGTTATTAGGGATGGTAAAAAGAAGGTAAAAAAGTGAGCCTTGAATGTTTGATCAACGTAACTCAATGGGAGTTCATGTGCTATGTGGCCCATTGATATTCGCACGAGCTGCTGCTAAATATGAAGATGAAGAGGTAGAAAACTTCAAACTGATACACTATGGGCTAAGCGTCAGAGCTTATCTAAAGACTGTCGTGAATCCGTTGAAAAACAACTAGCGAGCTTTCATGAGTAAGCATGGTAACTGTGAGATGAAAATTACATGATTTGCGATTGATGAGGTCGTTTTTGGAGCAACTCCAACTTTCAGCTCGCATCAATCGCAACGGAGCCTAGGCTTTGTTGAAAGTAATTGGCGCAGCAAATCGATTTTGCGTGAAATGAGAAAGAAGTACAAATAGCTCGTTCAAAGGCTAAAAATTATTAAAATATAGCCCAACCAACATGAAGTTTGTGAACACTGCACCTTGAGCTTGGAATTGAGTCTTTCATTGGGCATTCAATTATCACAATAACCTGACATTTTCCTAAATAATTTCAATTATTTCTTTTATGTTTCTGGTTAACTTTGTAAATTTATTGAAATTTGATCTGAGAACTTTAATAAAATCCGGAAAAAAGGAAAACAGCAACACGGATCTAGAGGAATTGAAGACTCAATGCTCTGAGAGACAAAAGATGAACAAATCAAATCGCAATTTGTGTTGAATGAGTTCAAAAGTAATGAGATTGTTTTTGGAGCAACTCTTATAGTCAGCTTGCATCAATCGCAACAAAATTAATGCTTTTTCAAAACTAAATAGCGCAGGAAAATAGTTTTGCGTGACAGGAGGGCGTGAAATGAGGAAGATGTAGCCACAGCTCGTTCAACTCGAATCTGTGGGTTTAACCAATCAGAATTGAAGTTGAAGGTACCCCTCACTCTTAACTATAAGTCATTTTAATTTCAAATTATCTACCGTCAAATACATCCTCTCTCAGCTCTAAATACTTTAATTTCAACTGAACTACCGTCAAATACCTCCTCTCTCAGCTCTAAATACTTTAATTTGAACTTAACTACCGTCAACTACCTCCTCTCTCAACTGTACATCAATCTATCTTTTTACTCAGTACTGTTTACTCAATTTATTGCTCAAAATAATCTTAGTGCAACACAGCAACCTTATGTTCTCGGTAGAATTTTCGCTTGATCTAGTACAATTACAAGAGCATGAAACAGTCTCTGGAGTTTTTCTGACACGAATGGACATCCCAATGCAACGAACATCATATAACGCAAGTATCCATGAAGGAGAACCATTTTGGAGAAATGCAAATGGAGGAAGTGGCTGAGCATGTGGGAATGAACTAAATCGACACTCTTGACTCTAGATATGTGGCTCAATCAGTCGAAGACATCCTCTTTCCTTGGGAGGAAGCAGGATCAGCCAAAATACACCATCACATTAGATGAAGATGAGGGCTTCTCAGAAACAATGACGTCTCCAGCTCCACAACAACTTCGTTCAGCTCTGCGTTCTATTGAAAACTTCCAGAACTTTCTGCTGCTTGATAGCTCTTTTATTGAACATTTTTGTAAACAATTGATGTTTGATGTTTATTTCGTTTTTTGTAATTAGTTAATTCCCTCAGTTTCTTTTTAATTATGAGAATATATGAGAAGTTCAGGGTAAAACATTGAAAAACAATTAGAATACAACCTAATTAGCGCCCAAAATTTGCACATATGTTGAAAAACTTGGTTAATATTTGCACACATATTGAAAAAAACACTAGAAAATTTGTACACAAGTAAAAAAGACCTTATGGTTTTTTGCATCGTCAAAAAGTTTAAAAAAACTCCGTAGCCTGATGTAAAGAAGTTCAGCTGCACAACGATGTTTCAGACAAAGCCCACAACTCCAAACTCTTCCATGATTCGGTAGAGACCCAAGTGTGCAAGTAGGCAACAGGGAGACTTCTATATCTCTGATCGACTCAATAGGGTTTGATGACCCACCAGAACGAGATTCAGACACCACTATCAACTCGGCCCTACTTGTTATTAGGGATGGTAAAAACTAGGTAAAAAAAGTGAGCCTTGAATGTTTGATCAACGTAACTCAATGGGAGTTCATGTGCTATGTGGCCCATTGATATTCGCACGAGCTGCTGCTAAATATGAAGATGAAGAGGTAGAAAACTTCAAACTGATACACTATGGGCTAAGCGTCAGAGCTAATCTAAAAGACTGTCGTGAATCCGTTGAAAAACAACTAGCGAGCTTTCATGAGTAAGCATGGTAATTGTGAGAAGAAAATTACATGATTTGCGATTGATGAGGTCGTTTTTGGAGCAACTCAAACTTTCAGCTCGCATCAATCGCAACGGAGCCTAGGCTTTGTTGAAAGTAATTGGCGCAGCAAATCGATTTTGCGTGAAATGAGAAAGAAGTACGAATAGCTCGTTCAAAGGCTAAAAATTATTAAAATATAGCCCAACCAACATGAAGTTTGTGAACACTGCACCTTGAGCTTGCAATTGAGTCTTTCATTGGGCATTCAATTATCACAATAACCTGACATTTTCCTAAATCATTTCAATTATTTCTTTTATGTTTCTGGTTAACTTTGTAAATTTATTGAGTTTTGATCTGAGAACTTTAATAAAATCCGGAAAAAAGGAAAACAGCAACACGGATCTAGAGGAATTGAAGACTCAATGCTCTGAGAGACAAAAGATGAACAAATCAAATCGCAATTTGTGTTGAATGAGTTCAAAAATAATAAGATTGTTTTTGGAGCAACTCTTATAAACAGCTTGCATCAATTGCAACAAAATTATTGCTTTTTCAAAACTAAATAGCGCAGGAAAATAGTTTTGCGTGACATGAGGGCGTGAAATGAGGAAGATGTAGCCACAGCTCGTTCAACTCGAATCTGTGGGTTTAACCAATCAGAATTGAAGTTGAAGGTATCCCTCACTCTTAACTAAAAGTCATTTTAATTTCAAATTATCTACCGTCAAATACAACCTCTCTCAGCTCTAAATACTTTAATTTCAACTGAACTACCGTCAAATACCTCCTCTCTCAGCTCTAAATACTTTAATTTGAACTTAACTACCGTCAACTACCTCCTCTCTCAACTGTACATCAATCTATCTTTTTACTCAGTACTGTTTACTCAATTTATTGCTCAAAATAATCTTAGTGCAACACAGCAACCTTATGTTCTCGGTAGAATTTTCGCTTGATCTAGTACAATTACAAGTGCATGAAACAGTCTCTGGAGTTTTTCTGGCACGAATGGACATCCCAATGCAACGAACATCATATAACGCAAGTATCCATGAAGGAGAACCATTTTGGAGAAATGCAAATGGAGGAAGTGGCTGAGCATGTGGGAATGAACTAAATCGACACTCTTGACTCTAGATATGTGGCTCAATCAGTCGAAGACATCCTCTTTCCTTGGGAGGAAGCAGGATCAGCCAAAAAACACCATCACATTAGATGAAGATGAGGGCTTCTCAGAAACAATGACGTCTCCAGCTCCACAACAACCTCGTTCAGCTCTGCGTTCTATTGAAAACCTCCAGAACTTTCTGCTGCTTGATAGCTCTTTTATTGAACATTTTTGTAAACAATTGATGTTTGATGTTTATTTCGTTTTTTGTAATTAGTTAATTCCTTCAATTTCTTTTTGATTATGAGAATAGATGAGAAGTTCAGGGGAAAACGTTGAAAAACAATTAGAATACAACCTAATTAGCGCCCAAAATTTGCACATATGTTGAAAAACTTGGTTAATATTTCCACACATATTGAAAAAAACACTAGAAAATTTGTACACAAGTAAAAAATACCTTATGGTTTTTTGCATCGTCAAAAAAGTTCTAAAAAAACTCCGTAGCCTGATTTAAAGAAGTTCAGCTGCACAACGATGTTTCAGACAATGCCAACAATGGCAAACTCTTCCCCGTTTTCGCAGAGGCCCAAGGATGCATGGGAACTACCACCTTGGGAAATAAGTTCTTCAATGGCAGCAGTGAGACTCCTATATCTCTGATTGAAACAATAGGGTTTGATGATTCCCCAGACGCCACTATCAACTCGGACCTACTTGTTTTTAGGGATGGTAAAAAATGTTTCCAAATATGTTCCTTGATTGTTTGATGAAGGTAACTCAATGGGAGTTCCTATGCTATGTGGCCAGTTGACATTCGCTAGAGCTGCAGCTAATTTAATGCTCGAAGAAAAACAGAATTTCAGAGTGATAAAGCAAAGGCTAGGTATCAGAGATAATATGAAATACTCCCGTGAATCCGTTGATAACAAACTAGAGAGTTATGGAACAACTCTTATTGTCAACTTGCATCAATCACAACGAAGCTTATGCTCTGACGAAAGTAATCGGCGCAGCAAACCAGTTTTGCGTGAAATGAAGAAGTACCCACAGCTCCTACAAAGGCCAAAATATTATCTACAATAAAGCCCAATAAGCAGAAAATGGTGTTTGGCAATCAAACGTATTCACTTAATTTCTTTTTGAAATGCACCTTGAGCTTATTATTGAGCCTTTCATAGTGCGCTGGATTATCATTATTACCTAACATCTTCTTCACTAATTTTAGATACTTTTTGTTTCTAGTTATTCTTATGAATTTATTGTGTTGAGATAGAATTTTAATAAAATGCGAGAAAACCTGCAATACGGATCTAGACGAACTGAACGCCCAACACCCAGAGAGACAAAACCTGGACAAACCGATGAGAAACCACAGGCGAACTACAGGTAAATGAAGTGTTAATTTAAATGTAAAAACAGGGTATTGACGCCATACCTTCTGGGGTTTAAAACTGTTGTTCATTCATTTCTTATAACCTTCAAAACTAACTATCCAGTAAGTAAAAGATTGTTCTACTTTAACTATTGTTTTAACTTAGCTTTCTTCAAGAAATTTGACGATCTACGGTGAGGTGAGACTTATAGCATTAAGATTCATTAGTGAGGAGACAAGAGAGTCTACAGGAGAGCACTTGTCGCTGTCAGTTAACTTCGAAAATTTCCGTTGCCTGATGTAAACGTGTTCAGTCGCACACCGTGGTTTCAGACAAAGCCCACAACTCCAAACTCTTCCATGATTCGGTAGAGACCCAAGTATGCAAGTAGGCAACAGGGAGACTTCTATATCTCTGATTGACTCAATAGGGTTTGATGACCCACCAGAACGAGATGCAGACGCCACTATCAACTCCGCCCTACTTGTTATTAGGGCTGGTAAAAACTAGGTAAAAAGTGAGCCTTGAATGTTTGATCAACGTAACTCAATGGGAGTTCATGTGCTATGTGGCCCATTGATATTCGCACGAGCTGCTGCTAAAAATGTGAATGAAGAGGTACAAAATTGCACACTGATACACTATGGGCTAAGCGTCAGAGCTAATTTAAAAGACTGCCGTGAATCCGTTGAAAAACAACTAGCGAGCTTTCATGTGTAAGCATGGTATTTGTGTAATGAAAAGGCTAAAAATACCTAAAATATAGCCAACCAACATGACGTTTCTGAACACTGCACGTTCAGCTTGGAATTAAGCCTTTCATTGGGCATTCAATTATCACAATAACCTGACATTTTCCTAAATAATTTCAATTATTTCTTTTATGTTTCTGGTTAATTTTATAAATTTATTGAGTTTTGATCTGAGAACTTTAATAAAATCCGGGAAAAAAGGAAAACAGCAACACGGATCTAGAGGAATTGAAGACTCAATGCTCTGAGAGACAAAAGATGAACAAATCAAATCGCAATCTAGACGTCGACTACAGGCAAATAGTGTTCTTCAAATATAAAACTGTCTTAAGTTCTAAAAGGGATGGGTCAAAACTACTTGTTCCTTCAATTTTTACAATATTTAAATTTAACTATCCATAATTTTAAAAATAATAATCTTTTCTAGCTATTGTTCCATCTATAGCTTTGGGCAATAATTTTATTATCACAGCTGAGACTTATAGCATAATGATTTATTACTAAAGAAACAAGAGAGGCTATTAGAATGCATCTGTACCTGTCAGGAAAATTCATAAAAAACTCCACTGCTCGATAAAAACAAGTTCAGTTGCACAACTTGGTTTCAGGCAAAACTCAAACCGCCAAACTCTTCCCTGTTTCGTCAGAGACCCAAGGATGCATGGTGACTATCATTGTTAAGATTGTGTTCACCAATGGCACCAGAGATACTCCTATATCTCTGATTGACACGGTACGGTTTGATGACCCTGAACGAGATGCAGACACCACTATCAACTTCGACTTTTTTATTATTAGGGCTGGTTACAAGGGTGGAAATGTGAGCCTTGAATGTTTGATAAAATTATCTCACAGGAAGTTCCTGTGCTAAGTGGCCCATTGATAATCGCACGAGCTGCTGCTAATTTAATGGTTGAAGAGGAAAATATTTCAAACTGATAAACCAAAGGCTAAGGGTCACAGAAATAATCCAAAAGACTACAGATATAATCCAAAAAACTGCCGTGAATCTGTTCAAAAAAACTACAGAGTTTTCAGTTTTAAGCATGGTAATTGTGTGAAAAAAATAACATGTGTTCAAAATTGATAAGGTTGTTCTTCGAGCAATTCCAATTGTGAGCTTGCATCAACCGCAACGAAGCTTATGCTTTGTGTCTTTAATTGTCAGCTTGCTTCAATTGCAGATCATCACGAACTATACATCTAAGGCAAAAACAGAAACGATTAAAATCATTCGAAAACATAAAATTTATCTTACGGTTGTTGCTTTTAATTGATGTTTTGCTAGAGATTAGAGTTGTTAGTCAACCAAAATTAAAGGATATCACTACGCCCTATCACAAAAAAAACTTTCTGGTGGAAAAGCTTTTTACACGATTGCTACTCCGCTGCCCTTGCACTTTCAATTTCTCTTAAATAATGCTTCATATATTCTTACAAAATTATTATTATCTTGCACGATGGCTATCTTGCAAGATCTTTCAAAGTTAGACATAATCTTTTGAAGATTCTTGCAAGATTCTTGCTCTAAAATCTTGGTCGACTAGGGTGAGCATGCGATATCTTGCTGCTACTAGCTTCGATTAAAAATCAAGGCACATAGACGCTCAAAACGAATATTCTACGAACAACTTGAAAAACTCTCGCTTACATTGCAGAAACAGCAGCGCTTAGACGCTTTCAGAACAATCTTTAACTATTGATTGACCCGATAAATTTCTATCAGTGAGCATTTATACTAGTGCAATGGGTACGAAAACGCACAAAATATGAGCGAAGAGAACACAAAACATACAGTTAGAAAGGTGTCAACAAACACATTACTTGCCCGAAATAATCGATGCGCTGGCCGAAAAGAGGCTATAACATAAACACTATGACGATTCACAAGACAACAATTGCTATGCAAGCAAGCAAGCCAGGAAACAAATTACACGGTTTTATTTTACCCTGATATTGAAGTAATATTTTTATTTGTAATATTGAAAATATGGAACTTTGCACGAACTGTCGAATTCAGTATTGTTGTTTCCGTTTATGGATATATGGCAGGAACCATTAGAGGTATTTTAGTAGCAAGGAAACTGAATACTGTTGTTCAGGGGCGGATTTGGGGGGGGGGGGGGGGCGGACGCCCCCCCCCTTCAGGGATTCGACACCCTGCCGACCCAAAGGGTCCCCCATTTGGTACTTTTTAATAAATCCAGTTTTGGCCGATCGACCTTAAAATTTTTCTAAAGGCGCCTTTGGCGCCAATATTTACTAATTTTGAGGGGGGAGCGCGCGCCGAAAAAACGCAATTTTTTTGGTCAAAGTTTTCCAAAAAGTGCCTAAAAACGCCTTTTTTGACTGTTTTTTTTCAAAAATTAGCCTGTGGCGCAGATAATTTTGCAACAGTAGGGGCAAAACAGTGCTTTGGGAGAGCTCAAAAAATCAATTTGGTCGACCTAAAAAAAGGTCAAAATTTTCGATTTCTTTTTGAAAATCCGCCACCACCCCCCCCCCCCCCCCCCCTCGAGAAAATCCTAGATCCGCCCCTGCTGTTGTTGGTTGAGAATATATGAGTTGCAGACCAATAAATATGCTTGACTTTATTTCTGATTCTTATTTATTTTGTGTGTTTTTTTTATCCCCCGCTGCGTTATTTTTTCGGAACCACTTGTTTTATTCCCAAATTCTACGGGACCTTTTCGCTTTTTTTTCAGAAGTTCCTAGCACGATCAAATAATTTAACAAAAGAAAAGCCCTATAGATATTGTAAACTCTCTTTTACATAGCAGCGCTCAATTGCTGTCAGTAAGAAGTTATGCAATTGATTGACCTGATAAATTTCACTCAGTGAGAAATTGAATTTTGCAAATGAGTAGCAAAGTTTGAGCGCAGAGCACACAAAATTTCTCTACTAACATTATATTTACGCATGAGTAAATCAGCTATTTCAACTACATTTCATCGGAAGAGAAATATTGGGCTCCAAAAAAACGAATTAGTGAATTGGAAACTAAATAAATATCAACAACAATTATATCACTTGATCCAAAAATAATTTTCTTGTACTTCCCTCTTGCTTTGAACGCTGTCGCGCAACAGCGTAGGTTGACACCGGTTTTATACCTTTCTCTTCAGAACAAAAATCCACAAACAATTCTTCCACTCGTTTTACTTGCTCAACCGTTGCGCAGTTTGCGGATAGAAATACATTGTTTTCGTTGATTTTTTTCGGAGTCATTTTATCCCAGTACTCCCAATCCAGATTTTTGGCCATTTCAGTCTGGCTATTCTGGTCTTTGGAATATAGCCACACATAGTTCATCGGGTTATCCTGTCCTTTCATGCCAAAATCCAGAACAGTCCTGTAAAACTGGATATCTAGTTCGTCTTTTTTCAGAATTTGATCGCCCTGTAAATTCATAGACTTGAGCTGCAAGTACGAAGTGAATTTCCTTCTCAGGTCTCGTAGATATGATTTATTATAGCTGCTTAACTCGTCGACATTCGCTTCACAGACTATTTTTCCAATGTCTCGCAGCTGAATTTTACGCAAAATTCTTTTGCAGATCTCAGCTTTAGGATGATTGAACAACTTGATAGCCTGAAGTATACCGTCTGTCATATTCACGAAGGTATACGGATCCTTGTGGGCTTCTAAAATTGGCAGTGAAACATCTGGATCCATACTTGAAGGAACTTTTAGAAATTCATTGGCAGTTCTGAAGAGTTCTATGTACAGTCTTTCTATTGGCTTAATGACCCTATGCTGGTACACCTTTTTATGTAATCTTTTCCGTTGTTCGAACATCTGTAATACGTTGTCGAATTCCCGTTCGGGCCACGATATGTGAGTTTTATTATCACTGCATGTATTATCAGCCCTGCAGAGCTTCAGGAGTCTTTTGAACTCGAAACTGGTGTTAATTCCCACATGGTGACTGTCGCGGCGTATGTAATCCCATTTATCAACGTCAATTCCGTTTTGCTTGTTCGATACAATTTCGTAGAAGAAATTTTTCAAAGGATTTTTGCTTCTGCTTGACTTTCGTTTTTTATTCGATAAAACTAATTCGTGAACAAATTCCAAATCATCTTCGTTCAGCTCCAGCTCTTCTCGAATGGTTGGATTCTCCTTCAACATCATTTCGATAAGATTTATAGTCATTTCTTCATGAACAAATTCGTTTATTTCGTGTTTGCTGCTGTTTTCGTTGAGTATTTCTATGTGCGTCTTAATAAGACTTTCCCAAAAATGAGAAAACGGACCATGGCCTAAGTCATGCAGCAAAGCAGCCATTTTAACACAAAGTAAATCTTTGTCATCTGATAAAATGTCTACAATGCTGCAGGCATCAATAGAATCTTGATCATGATTTTCGATCGGAGATTCCTGCTCGTTACTCTGTACTTCAATCCCAATAGCCGAATCTCGGTCACTAAAAGGACTTTCGACCTTGATCAAACGTTCCCGCTCATCCGTTATACTTTCGTTTTCAATCCCAATAGTTTCGTCAGTTTCCGTTCGTTTAACTTGTTCATTCTCTTTCGCAACTTTCAGCAGGCTCTCTAACAATTCGCCAGCAAGATGACAAGTCCCGATCGAGTGCTCGAATCTCGTGTGTGAGGCTGCTGGGTAAACACTGTAAGCAACTCCGAGTTGTCTCAAATAGTGCAGACGTTGGAACTGAACAGTGTCTATGAGCCTTACCAATCTGACATCCAAGTCTATTGGCCCATAGATCGGATCGTTGAAGGTCTTAAATGGCATGCCGATAAAAACAAAGTGAACTTCCTCTCATTCTAAGTAACAGCAAAACGTTCTCTGTTCTAGCTTCAGCAGTAAACAGATTGCACTGCATAGCAGTCAAATTATCAAACATTCAATCAATAAATATCTGAAGTACTTCAATTCGTGATTAGAACATACTGGGGTAAATGACCTCAAAAAATGGTTATATTCGGTTTGAATGCAAACATGATTTTTAGTCAAGAAAAACTGCTTTGATCAGTTTTACGCCATACGAAAAAAAACAGAGGCACTCAATTTAATAAATGCCGGTGCCATGTGATCAATTTCTTCCCTAATTAACTATATGAACCATCTAACTCCTCTAATTATATGGGTAATTACAGCTGTTAGCGAACACGAAAAATTCTAGTTTCTGATTAGTTGAAAATAAGTACGCAAGTGAACGTTCTCGTCGCTTAATCAATTGAGTGAGAGGCTTATTCATTTTGTCCAAGTATGTTCCCTTCGTTCAATTACACTTCGACATACTCGGAGATTTCGTTGCTTTTTGATCATAAGTTAAATTTTGAACCAATCACAATTTGATCATATTTCTGAAAAACAATCAAAAAGCAGAAGAATATTCTCACTGCCACATTTGTTTTAGGCACATCAGAGAAGCACGTATTTGACTAGTTTTTGTGAACATCCTTTAGACAAAACTGCGATTAAAAATTAAAACTACTTGAGGATATCAACATCGAGATATTGAACAGTTTTGTAGTATAAGTAAATCTTAACCCTTCTCCGCTAAATTTCGAAAATAGATATTGTATTTACATTTATGACCACTGTAGACTGCATTACAGTAATGGTAATTATGACCTCAGCAATTTGGTATTCTTTGCAACCACCGGAAAAAATAACAAATGGAACAATCTTCCGATTTTGCAAGCAAAACAACCATAAAACAAATCAAAAAGCATATCGCCAAATAATTCGTGGAAAAATGAACAGAACAAATTCCACGTCGCTCTTTAAGCAATCAAAAGTTTCATTAAAACCACCTAAAATGTTTTGATTCAAGCAATTTTAAGGGTCACAAATTTCCTCTTAGGATTTCGGAAATGTCTATTGCACCAAACATTTTTTAAACAAAAATGCAACTTCCTTCTTTTGACAGATAGCGTTTACAAAACTTCTGGCAAAATTTCTCCGATGAATTATGTCACCAATTAATCAAGAGTCGGAAACTATTTTACTGACAAGAGTTCGGAAACTAATTCGGTTAAATAATCAGTCGAAAACCCTTTACTAACTTCACCCAAAAAAAAACATTGAAAAATCACTCTCCTGAAACTCAATGGAAGTCTTAAGCAGCAAGCCAACATGATAAATACTAAATTCTGGTTGGCTGAGGAAAAAGCAAAGGAGAAAGTGAACGATCTGACTTAATTTAACACAGAGGCGAAGTTGCACTTCGCATACACAAGCAAAAATGTGACCGATAACGCAACTGGCAAAAACTGAATGAGTAAAACTTCTACAAAATTTCTTAAGTGGCGCACGCTAATTATGAGTATACATAATTGCTAAGTGACGCAAGCCAATTATGACGCATTAGCAGTCAATTATCAAAAAAAAAAAAATTTACCAACTAACATGCTGCAATTTATAGAGCGGACGCATTTTAACTAGTATCCGAAAAAGATCATTTAAAACATCCGACCCTGCCTAGGTTTGAACCTTCTTATTTTGTTATAGGTCTCTTTCCCTACCTCTATGCTACAGATCTATAATACCTTGAATTTAAAGTTCTGTTTGTAATATAATAGTCTGTAATAATATCCTTAGCTTTGGCTGTACTTAATAGCTGGTTATTGATCAAAATGAACACATTTTGTCGCAACAATATTTGCGACTTCGGTTGGAAAAAAAGAAGTACACACTATATCACAAGCTTTGCATTGATTAAACTTAGAAGAATGTTTCGGTACATTAGATGTGTAAGACGTTCGGCACCCAATTGCAGATTGAGCATACTTTTTTCTTCTGTACGCTTCGCAAATCAAATAAACTATTACGTACCCTAGAGTCTTTCGACGCCCTTTTCAGCAACAAGTGAAGTACGTGATTAGCCAGTTCTTTACAAAAATATAGTTAAAATACCTGTGAAAATCATCATCTTTAACATGCGGATGTACTGCAGCTTTGCTATATGTATATGTTATACATCTTAACTATCCCCCCACAGTTTATCAAAAAAAAAAACGCCTTGTCACTATATTTGAGAACTAATTGAGTTTCACATGAAGCTGTTACCGCTGTAAACTGCATAACAAAAATCGTAATTATACCACATTTATAGAAAAACTCATACAAAACTATATTTCGTTCTTTGAGCAATCAAAAATTTTACACAATTTGCGAAACCAAATAAGAACGCTGCTTAACCGAAAAAAAAGAAGTAACGCTCATCAAACAACACAGATAGACTCCTAAGCCGTTATAATATAGGCCCAAAACAAATAAAAAGATGAAAATTTTAAAAAATCAATTAAGCGTTAAAGTACAACAATAAGACAGATAAAATATGAAATGCTAACATGCTCAAAACATGTCTGTTGCAGTATGTCTAACAGACGGGACCTAGCCAGTCAGGTCTGCGTCCCACCCTCCCTAACTTGGCATGATTTTTGCGTACTTTCAGTCTGAATATGCGCTTGCGCACACTCCGGCAATTTTGAATGGATGGCCGGGCAGCTGAAAACGTTTTCGGATGACAATGCGCCCTTCGGGCGCACTTATAATGCTGAGTCAAAACTGGACAGGATGGTTTAATAAATCAACAACGATTTTTTTATTCCCGTTTCTTGAATTATTCCCAGTCGGATGCTCCTCTACTGGGTCCTAAGAGGCCCACAGAGCATCCTGCAAGATCGTTAATCTGAATTTTAAAAAAAATATATATTTTTTAAATTTTTTTATGATTTTTTCTTTTAGTTTCAGCAATTTTAGTATCTTTTACAAACAATTATGAGCATTTGCGGCAGATTACAATGCATTTTATTAGTTCAGACTTCCCTACTTGCTATATATGACCTAAGCTACTGTAGGACAGATCTAAATTCAAACTTCTACAATTTTCGGTAAAACTACAAAATAAAAATTTTATCAAACCAAAAAAAAACCAAAAATTTTCAGCTTTTTAACTATTAGGAACTTCATATTACCCAAAGAGAATTTCATTTTTGATATCAAAATCCATTCTTTTCAAATTACAAAACTTTTAATTTTCGCAAAAGCAAAAAAAATATGAGCCAAACGGTTTAAAGCATCATACCTCATCTCTTAGGCGCTACTAGAAATCTCATAGCACATCTCTAAGGTGCTATCCTTTTTTTGGGTTGTTGGGAAAAAGCCAAAAAATGACCAATACCCATCTTGAGAAAAAATATCTAAAGGTGGCATTAACAAACTGCCATTATTTCCGGAGTCTAGGGTCATATGCAAAAAGCTAGTGAACTCTAGCGGGGAGTTTTTAAAGAACGTTAAGCTGGCTAAAAGTCAGAATTTTTCGAGGGGGGCCCTTACCCCCTCTCAATGGGTTTACATAGCGTCGTGGGCATGCGCCCATCAAGAGAAGAATACTCTGAAACAAAATTATTTAACGGGAGAAGTCTTGAGCTCGGTTGCAACATTCTTGCTATCACAAGTGTAAACACAGCGGCGGAGCTGAGCTTTGCAACAATTGCGACGCAAAAAAACATATTCAGCTAGGAAATAGTGAATGGAAAGAGTAAAAAAAAAGTTCTAAAGTAAGTTGGAAAAAATTACTTGAAAAAAAAGTTGAAAAATTACCGCTACAAAACTTTGATGTTTGTATTGAATGCAATTCATAGACAGCATTTATTATTGTGAAAAATATTTACCTCACGGCAACAACTGTTGGGTCGAAACAAGTTTAGGCAAAATCAAAACTGTCATAAAATATTTCATGAGTAAAATTTTGACGACCAATCGAAACTGAAAAACACATAATCGCAATTAGATATAATTTTCTCTCGAAACTACGGAAAATAAATTGACTAAGTCGATATAGCATCAACTGAAAATGTTCAAATTTAATAAACCAAAGAAAATTTCCAAAAAAAAATTCAAAATCAGACATGGTACATTTACAAATTGGTGAATTTTCAGTTATAGTAAAAACTTTTTTTTATTTGAACCAAGCCATGCCTTAAAAAGTAAGACAAAAAACCCCAACCAGGTTGAAAACTTGGCGTTTCAAAATTACTGAAAATAAACTGACATAAAAAAGGACGAAAACGACGTACCCGAAAAAATTGAGAATTTGTTTTCGAAAAGATAATTACAACCTGAAACTGGCTTTAACTAATTACTATTTATATGGTAGTAGTTTTATTTGAACTTTCAAGAAGTTGAGCATGTCAATAGATGAATGAGTCGAGGAGAAGAATGAGTCCTGTGAAAAAAAAATTAAAGGAAAACAACCTAGTACCCGATTGCAATACCCTTGCATATCGCAAACGTAATAATCATCTAGAAACTTTCGACAAATAATAATTTTACATTTAAGGATCCCTCACCTCTAGTGAATGCTTTGTGGGAATTGATCAAAAAAACTCTGAAAAAAAGAAATTTTCAGCTTTTTAACTATAAGGAACTTCATATTACCCAAAGAGAATTTCATTTTTGATACCAAAATCCATTCTTTTCAACTTATAAAACTTTTAATTTTCTCAAAAGCAAAAAAAATGTGCCAAACGGTTTAAAGCATCATACCTCATCTCTTAGGCGTTACTAGAAGTCTCATACCACATCTCTATTATTTCCGGAGTCTAGGGTCGCATGCAAAAAGCTAGTGAATTCTAGCGGGGAGTTTTTGAAGAACGTTAAGCTGGCTAAATGTCAAATGTTCCGAGGGGGGCCCTTACCCCCTCTCAATGGGTTTATATAGCGTCGTGGGCATGCGCCCATCAAGAGAAGAATACTCTGAAACAAAATTATTTAACGGGAGAAGTCTTGAGCTCGGTTGCAACATTCTTGCTATCACAAGTGTAAACACAGCGGCGGAGCTGAGCTTTGCAACAATCGCGACGCAAAAAAAAACATATTCAGCTAGGAGATAGTGAATGGAAAGAGTAAAAAAAAAGTTCTAAAGTAAGTTGGAAAAAATTACTTGAAAAAAAAGTTGAAAAATTACCGCTACAAAACTTTGATGTTTGTATTGAATGCAATTCATAGACAGCATTTATTATTGTGAAAAATATTTACCTCGCGGCAACAACTGTTGGGTCGAAACATGTTTAGGCAAAATCAAAACTTTCATAAAATATTTCATAAGTAAAATTTTGACGACCAATCGAAACTGAAAAACACATAATCGCAATTAGATATAATTTTCTCTCAAAACTACGGAAAATAAATTGACTAAGTCGATATAGCATCACCTGAAAATGTTCAAATTTTAAAAAGCCAAAGAAAATTTTCAAAAAAAATTCAAAATCAGACATGGTACATTTACAAATTGGTGAATTTTCAGTTATAGTAAAAACTTTTTTTATTTGAACCAAGCCATGCCTTAAAAAGTAAGACAACAAAACCCCAACCAGGTTGAAAACTTGGCGTTTCAAAATTACTGAAAATAAACCGACATAAAAAAGGACGAAAACGACGTACCCGAAAAAATTGAGAATTTGCTTTCGAAAAGGTAATTACAACCTGAAACTGGCTTTAACTAATTACTATTTATATGGTAGTAGTTTTATAGATGAATGAGTCGAGGAGAAGAATGAGTCCTGTGAAAAAAAAATTAAGGGAAAACAACCTAGTACCCGATTGCAATACCCTTGCATATCGCAAACGTAATAATCATCTAAAAACTTTCGACAAATAATAATTTTACATTTAAGGAACCCTCACCTCTTGTGAATGCTTTGTGGGAATTGATCAAAAACTTTTTCCGATTCTGCTGAGAGAGACACCAAGCAATTTGACTCATTTTGGTTATAGTTAGTCCAAACAAAATTGATGATGGCTAAATTTTATTTCGTTTTTTTTTACACGAGATATTACAAATTGGTGGTTAAAACCTGTTAATTGTGACAAACTTCAGAATTTGAGCGCAAAATTGACGTGAGTCTTCTCAACATTCCATTCAACTGAATGACTCGATTTGAGTTAAAAGGTGCCGTTATCATTCCCACTAAATGAGTATTTAAAAGATCATGTTCATCATGCGGCCGGCAAATCCGTATAGAGTAAGTTTGTAGTTAGAGTAGAATGTTCTGGGCTAGAATGATATCAGGCAGACTGAAAAAAGGGTAGTGTCCAGTTAGCCTTTCATCAAGCTCTGAGTGTCTTCGTTTCTATTCATATTATTCCGGTTTCGCATAACTTCAAGATTTTTTGAAATTTAAACTTTCTTGAATTTGTTACTATTAACGGCGTAATTAGCATGCCAAATTCGCAAACAATTACAAATGAAAAACTGAACCAATTTGATCTCATGAAATTTTTCGCTTTTTAGATAAAACAATGCGTATTCTTCGCCCGAATGTGTTTGAGTAGTGGTTACTAGGTTTATTTCTGGAGCGGGCTGGATGGCGGCTTCTTTATATGGCCTTTACATGCATTTGTAGTTAAACATCTACACAAAGACAAAGCAGAGCTTCGCAACAATTGCGATAAAATTGCATTACTAGATATTGAAGAAAAAATATATTTTTGAAAAGCAGCTGAAAAAAAAATGTTTCGAAAATTGAAAAACTGCTTCAACAAAAACTTCATACATTTATCTAGGATAATTTCAATAACAGCCTTAACAAAAAAAAGCGAGGAAAATTGGGATACATTTATAAAAACTCGACGCTTGTCTCCTGAAACATGCAGCAGCATTGAAAACATTTATGCAGCAGCATTAAAAATTTACCTATCCCTCCTAAAGCACGCGACTAAGCCGATATAACAGAATCCGAACCCGTTTGAACTAAAATTTTTTTTACTTGTTTCTTTCCAAATCTTTGGTTTTTATTCTTGTTTGTTCAAACAGTTTTTGGACTATAATTGAAGACTGTTCTGTAGTATGTTAATTTACTGACTGATTTTGAGCATATATTTTTCGTTCAGTCTTCAATTATAGTCCAAAAACTGTTTGAACAAACACGAATAAAAACCAAAGATTTGGAAAGAAACAAGTTGGAACTAATACTGGATACAGAAATTGCATTAGAAAAAAACGGAAAATCAGTCGACATAAACTAGGACGAATACCACAAATCATGAAAAAAAAAACATGTTTCTTTAATTATATTTGAATAAATTAATTAGTACCTAAAATTAAATAGGAAAATTTATTTAAATTTTCAAGAAATTGAGCATATCAGCCTTCAAGTGAAACTAACTGCACGTATTTCTTATAAAATTTGTAAGAAAAATGTTTATAAGAAAAAAGTCTACATCCCGATTACAAGTCACTTGCTCTCGCAATTAAAATGATAGACAAACGAAATAAATTGATGGGCAAAACTTCTAATCAGCTCAGCCAAGTCTTGAAAAATCTCAATTCATACCTTCATGCGGTAAAAACAGTTCAAGAGTTTATATCGAGTTAAACATTGTGGCGTATCCGTCTAACTATAGAAGCATAAAAATTTGTGGGATTTGATGACAATAAACACTAATCATGGAATAATTTCTGCAATGGATGATTTGTCTTGATATGTTATCGAGATCGAGGTCTTACTATGTTTTCGTGATCTGGTTATGATGTAATAACGGTAATTGTGTTCTTCACTTTCGTGATCTCCGGACTTTCTAGTTGCTCCTCTGGAATTCGTTCGAGTGACTCATTCAAAGGCGATTGTCTGGGATCTATCACGTGACCCTGATAATCTTGATGCCCGTTCAATTCTGCAGACGGGACAGTCGTTTGAATTCCGTCATCTTCAACTAGCAACGAGTGTTGACGTCTTTCGAACCTAGTGAAATAAAAAATTATAACTGAAATCCTGCAAAATGTCTTAATGTACATTCAATTCAGTTCAGCGTCTCACGTCGAACCACCGTTGAAAACACAGTAGAAAAAAGTATGACAAGCAATTAAGGTACATCTCAGAGCCAGGAAAAGCATCTCGGCCTCTGCAGAAAGTGCCGAGTATGATTTTACTCATAAATAATTATAAGGATTTAATTCTTTTGCTTTACAACTTCTCGGTAACTCTTGCTTTTGAGAACAAAACGAATTGTTTTCTCCAACGGTAACGTTCATCTTGACCGCAAAACTTTTTATAAATTATTCGCAAGATATTTGAAAAATATTGCAAATAGAATTTCACTTGAATTACTACAGTTAACTTATAGAATTTGATTGAAAGCTTTTTTTTAGAGTTTTTGAAACAATCTATCGAGCTCGCAGTGCTTTTTATTGAAGTAACGATCCAACCTCATTTGAAGCTGCTTGTCTGACAAATTGACCGCAAACGAGGGCAGTATTTCGATTGGGATCTTCATTCTGGTGAGCATCGTGAACTCCATGTGCAGTTTAGTGATTATCTCGATGAGATGTTCTGTTGAGATGAGTATGTCTCCTAGCTCTCGATTTCGCTTCAGATACGACTTGCGCTCCTGGAGACACTCATAATTATGATAAGTGATGGTGATGAAAAATAAAACCTTACATGAAGTAAAACTCACTTTGTTTATAAAGGTTTGATAATTCAATTCCCCAATAGACTTTAAGCCTAAAATATTAAGCCTAATTGCATTGCTGCGACAAGCAGGCTAAAAATCACATGAGTTTTTCATACCATTGTCTACAAGGATAGTATAGGAGAACTGTAAGCGAGTTAGTGACAAATTGCTTTGGACTTTGAAACACGATCAAGGATGTGATTGTCATATTATTGAACTGCATCGATAGGAACAATCGGGAATAATCCCATAATTTTACCTTAGTTTTGCCTTAAATTGGCTTTTGACTGAAACTGACCTTAGCCCTGGTTACTGTTCTCATGACTAGCACTCCGTCGTTGTAGGGGGAGCAGGAGATTGATCTGAGATTGAACAGAGGAAAAGACTCCTTAACTGAGGGACGTGGTTTCGTGTCCAAGAAGTACACATGGTTAGATGTGATGACCATGATTCTATTCTGACCCTGTAGAACTTTCTGAAGCACAACAAAGTTCATCATTCACAAAATCTATTTTATAGATTTCGAAAGCTAAATTTTTCGAGATTGCCTATTCGCCAAAATAATCTTCTACTTATTACGTAAAATTGCCGTAACAAGGTTTTTTCGCATAGTGAAAAGAAAACCGAAACGCATGAACTGAAGCTGAAAACATAGCCAACTGAAAAGAACACAAGGAATCAACAATTAATTATTTTATATCTATTCCCACACACAGGTCTTCACCGAATCCTAATTAATCGCACTATACCATTTAAAAAATCTTGCAGATGCATCTTACTTTAGCGTCGTTTCGACTGAACTTGCTGACGTATTCACTGAACTTCACAACTGCATTCGGACTGTTTGTCAACTCCGGCCAGCCCGGATTCACAGCCATTGCGAGATGATCGCCCAAGAAAGGCTCGCCCACGCTAAAGCATTCTGAGTCTAAATTTATTCAGTGACTGATGAAACTTTATTGTTGGTTCATTTAAAGCAGATGCGAAGCTGAGCTTCGACCAATTGCGATACAAAAATTTTTCGCTCGTCGAAAGACGCAATATGAGGACATTAAGCCAATTTCATAGGCTGAAACCTATCACGCTAAAGCAAAAGAAAAAACAAAAATAAACCGAAAAAATGTTGTCACGAAAAACTATGATTACTATTAAAATTTTTAGCATTTGGTGCGATTCAGAGGGAAGCATAAAAATTATGTTTTCCTTGAAACGACTCAAAATTGAGTTACAAAGCCGATAAAATAAAATCCGAAGTCATGTGAGCAGAAAAATACAAAGCCCAGGTTCGTAGAATTACAAACAGCACAAGTAAACCACAACAGAATCAATCGAAGAAAGGAAAATCGTAATTAACGCAAGTCAGCATAAAAAACACTGACTTTCTTGAAAATTTCAAATTTCAAAGAAAAAAATAGATGCCTTTTAAACTCCTTGAATTTCTAGAACGATTTATGATTGGCGCTTTTTTATAAAATTAACCCAACTTTAGAAAACTGGATTAAAAGGTAAAGTTTTTATTCCGCTGGAAATCCAAAAATCAAATTCCACTTTCGAAACTAGAAATTGTTCACGTTTTTTTGCGCCATTAACACGTTCGTATTTGAAGAGTGCTAATTACGTCACTTTCAGCAGCTGAATTTCAATTGAACTCAAAAGGTGGATATATTCCTTAATGCATTCATAACTGCATCAATATGTGTGAAGGCACATCTGTAGTTATAGTTTTTTAAGACGCTTCCTGAAAAAAAAAACGAAAAAAATCAGCAAGACCTGTGTAACAGTCTTCACTGCGTTCATTAACCTTAAACAAGACGAATAACTATAATTTAACTTGTCTAAAGCAAATAAACAATTGTACGATGTGACAACTAAGTCGACAAAACATAAGCAGACAAATAACAAGCCGACATTTTTTTAGAAACCGAATACTTCCCGCTAGAAGAAAAAAAACAGGCCCAGTTAGATTCGAACATAAGACCTGTTCGAGATCAAGTATGCCGGAAGCGCAAAAAAACTTTGAATTCATTGTGAACGGAACCTAAATTTACTATTTCTAAATTTGACCAATCTGCGGACAAAGTCATTTACTGCAAAAAAGTCTACTAACCGCATGCAATACCCTTACTTGTCTCAAAAGTAATACACAGAGGCGGAGCTGCGCTTCGCAAACACTAGCGGCAACACAATAAAAAAGCAGTTCTAAAAGTTGAAATAATAAAAAAACATATATCAGATTCGAATTAGCAAAGCTGGCAAGTGTAAAAATTGTTCCATCCACAATCAGTGTTGTAACTGCAAAACTTGATGCAACAATAAATTGTTTCTCTCAAAAAACCCACAGAAATGATTCATATTTTACAGCATCGCCAAATAAAACGAGGTGACGAAGGAAACAATTTATCAGCACAGAGTTGTCATAACTTAACAGAAATAAAAAGACATTTCCGCGATGTATGGAAACATTTGTTTCCAGTCATGGGTTAATGGTCAATACGTTCAACTCAATGTCATGAAGCTCCTCTCACCTCGCTGCATACATCGTCTTTCTGCCTTTGAAAATGAGACTGGCGGTTGCTTTTTCTCCCAGCACTCTTCGCTCATCCTCACTTTTATTATCTCTGTAAATCTTGCACTAAAAGGTAATAATCCTGATTAAATATGCAATACTCAAAAACTCAACTTTTCTGAAAAACAAATAAGTGCTTTAATATACAATGCTCAATCCATATATCTCTCCGAATGATTTCCGAGCAAAATTTTGCTCGCTTGTACTTCAAACAGTAATTGAATTAATGAAAATCAAGTTATGGTTTTCTCACAAACTATCAGAGAAACCTAATCTCGTCAGTAAGATTTTCATCTAATTTTCAGTTCTCGTTTCGGTAACATTTAACATCATTTATGAAATAATGTTTCAATTTTACCCTGTATTGATGATCCAATACTCTTATCTGCCCATGCGCCGATTCCAGTGACTCAATCTCACACTCTGGCCATTTGTTATCCAAGGGCGACATCGAAGGACACTCACTCGCCACACTTTGAAAGAAACTCAATTAGAACTTAAAAATGATCTTCAAAGAAATATCAACGCCTTCAAAACATTTTCAAGCGACAAAAATGACAATAAATAACAGTAGCCATTTCAAAAACTTGTCAGGGCATTAATGAAATAGATAAATTTGAAAATCACTAGTTCCAAAGTGGGATCGAACTAGGGATATATGGAGTCCTTACCCTGTGAGATACTTGTACACGGTGTAATTCCACATGAATCTGCAGATGACCGGGATGGCATATCTTCTAAATTTTTTCCTCCACACTTTTCGCACTGCTCTACCTCTCTCGTACTTTTGAATGGTCATGGTGGCGTTTCTTACTGCAAGGTACTGCTTCCTAGCCTGCAAAAATTTTAACAGAATTAACCAATTTTAAACCTACGCCCTAATTCCAAGGAGCATATCATTGCTCAAAACTTGAATCTCACAATTCAACTGAGGTTCAAAAATTGTCAAAACAGACCAAGGACCCCCTCCCCTCACAGTTTGCACCACCCAGTCATCAGACAGTCAAATTGACCCATCAGAACAAAGTATGCGGATTTTCATTGTAAACACAGCCAACAGACAGTTTGCAAAGAGTCAATGAACGCAAGGAAACAGAAAGACGGATTGTTTTTACGAAACATCTCAATTCTCGAAGAAACATAGATGGCTTCAAAGCTCTTTGAATTTGAAGAACACTTTACGATTGACACTTTTTTGTTTAAATCAACCCAATTTGAAAAAACTGGATCAATAAAAAGATTTTTTTTTCGCTGGGAAATCTGAAAATTAAATTCCATTTTCGAACTTAGAAGTCAATGAATTGAACTTAATTAAAATTAAACTTAACTTGAAAAGAGTAACTTCCCAAATGGCATAAAAACAAATTAACTCCCAAATGGCATAGACATTTTCAATAACTGTGTGAAGTCGATCACGTTTTTCGTGACCTTTACAATTTTGCTGTTCGATAGTGGGGTTTGCCTTCCTTTTAACAATAGAAATGAACTTTAAAAGAAATCGCAAGTCAAACCGCGAAAAATCAAAACTGAGCGTGAACTAATTGCAAGACTTTTTCCTCAAAAAAAGAAATCAGCAAGACCTATATAAGAGTATTCACTACGTTCATTACTCTATAACAGAGTCTTCACTATATTCAGTGACGCTTCAAACATTATCAAAATTAACTTGTTAAACCAATAACTTCAGTGCTCACCGAATATGCCTTAAAGTGTGCGGCAATGATAGTGACTGCGGCTCTCTTCAGTCTGTACTGTTTCCTGGCGAAGAAACACCTCCATCTGGACTGGATGACCACCACCAACTCATCCATCCTCTCACGCCTTAACTTCTCCATCTTGAACAACTGCAAACAAAAAACAACACACTTTACTGTTACACTATTTCTAATTTTTTATCTAATTTCATTAATTAAATTCAAGCAATGTTAGACCCTGAAATAATTTCACTCCGTCACAAAATACATATTTATGCTGTTAACAAATTAATACGCAATCTGCTATTTTTGAAGAAAATTGCAAGCGATCTTGAGTTTTCAAGCGAACTTGAGACAACTTTAGTCTGAAAAATTAACACTTGCAGACAAAAATTTCCTGAAAGAGGTAATTTGCCCTTTTTAATCAACATTGTTTTCCAACGTTTAGTTAGTTATTATCGAGAAGAGATAATTTAAACAATGAGAGGATACTTGCAGAAATTACACGGAGACGAAGTTGGGCTTAGCATACACTACAAGGAACGCGAAACAACTATCATAAACATGGAAAAATCTTCAAAACAAGGTATGTTTAACCTAAAGAATATCACAATTGATCATTCAGATTTGTTCAATGAGCTCTGGAAATATTTGATCACATGGCACCAACTACTCTAATGAGTTAGGACCGATGTGGTTAACTCATAGAGTAATTTCGGATAGGGTACACCGTCTGCTCGTCACGCTATCTTATTTTCGGCCGGATAGATTCGTGCAACTTCTTAGTCTAATACCGATCCTAATCTTACTCTTATACTATCTAGCCTCAGGTTGTTTAACTAGTCTCTGCTAGGCTCAATAGATCTAGGGTATACTGGTTTATTGCGGCTGCTGAAGTTCTCTTGGAGAGGCAACTAATTTCTAAGTTAAATTCAAATCTCTCTGGTGCTGAAATTACAAGTAATTTCAGCACTTACAAATAAGTGGGTTGTTCGTTAGATGGATCATGATTGGTTAATATTAAATACTTTACAGTGGTAAAATATCTAATTTATCCAATCATAAAATATAGTTTAGATCAGGTTCCACCCATCCGGGTTTTACAGAGTTTTTTAGAATTATCTTTCTGCAATTCAAAGGATGGATGATGGACGTTGGTATTTGGCGAACATCGTACTCTTGTCCGGTTTCTCTTGTTAGAGAAGTTCCAGGACGCTGGAGTGAGGGGCTTCAATCGTTGGGTCTTCTTATGACAACGATGGTGTTTCCCAATGAAATCAATTTGATTTCAGAATGGTTTGCTATGACGGGTTTTTCTTTTTTATGTAGAGAACTTCTTTTGTGTTCGACCTTGTCTGGGAATGGCGTGGAGATTGTGCGTGGAGAGAATGCCTTGTAACTCGGATCTGTACGTATACTTGAACATCGAGGTGGTCATTGGTCTAGTTCAATGAAGTCCTTTTCTGCGAAGTCAAGTCGTACTCTAAATCCTTTGAGTTTGTGATTGTGGACGGCATATCGTTTGTGGTTGGCCATTCTTTTTTAAGTGTAGTGGGGTCATTTTGTCTTTGGATGTTCGTCTTTGTTGTTGTGTGCTGATCTATATACTGCAAGGTATAGTTTACATTTTATAAAAATTTTTATTAGTTCAGTTTTTAATTATGATTTTGGTTAGTTGTTTTCACAAAAGCATTTTGTTTTAGTTCGGTTATTTTGAAGAGTTACTCACCCTTGAGTACCTCTTATTAAAAATAGAAGTGTGGTCACAAAGCGTGGATGTAGCGCGGTGGATTGGGCCGGCTATAGAGCATGCTCAGGACGTCCTCTCTGGTGGGTTAGGCCAGGAGTGGGAGAATGATTTCGTGCGGTTTCTGTGAGAGGTCCTGTTATGTGATAACATTTTATGTTGGGTTTATGGTGGTTTTTCTTATGTTTCGTTGGTTGTGTCCTTTTTTCAAAAATCAAATTGTTTTTGGTATGGGTTTGTCTGTCGACTTTTTTGTGTTTTATTATTTCTTTCTTAGACTTTATAATAGTCTTCAAAAGAATAAATTATCCAGTTTTAAACTGGGTTAATCCGGTTTGGGTACCGTTGGTTTTCTTTTCTTAGTCATGCTGTTATTCTATGATTTGTGGTGTTTAGTAAGCTGCGTTGGTTAGTTTTGTTTAGTATATAATTCCTTTCCAACCGGGTTAAAGGAAAGTTTGAAACTTGTTGTCGGGTGTTAGAGTTGTTGAGTGTGAAAGCTTGAAACTGAAATTCATTATTTAAATAATTCTTCGTGGGCGAGCTGTGCGAGTTTGGATAGAATTCTTGTGCGAATGAATGAAAATATCAAAAGGTTAGTACTGCATTTTTGTTTTATCATAGTTTTTGGGGAAAAATTAAGTTACAAATTTTCATCATTATTAAAATTACTGCTTTTGGGGAAACAATTTATAAATTAATTTACTACATTGGTATGAATTTTATTATATTTATCTAGTGCAAAATATTAATAGAGTTTTAGAAGAATTTTAACAAGTTAATTATTCTTTATTTTTCTTTTCTGTTTTTTGCAGATGATCGTGGGATGAAGACTAAAAATCTAAATGAGACATGAATAAAGAATGGTTAGTATTTATTTCAAATTTATTAGTGAAAAATATGTATAAATTATACTTACCTGTTAGTCGTCGGGGAAAAAACCGTGGGGGAAGATGTCGTGTATTATGTCGGAGTTTGTTAGTAATTTTGCTAGTATGCGAATGATGTTTTTAGTCTGAAGCAGTGGCCAAAGCAATTGAAGTGCTTTAATAGTTTTTAGTTCTTCAGTGCCAACTGCAAACTCATAAGGTGTGTTTTGAATGAGGTTATATAATTTGTGATTGTATTTAGTATTGTGGATGAATTCTAATATTGGGATTTCTATAGGTTGGATAAATTCATGTGGGATAAGGAAGGGTCTGGATTCTTCTGCGTTAAAGGTCTTCGTGATGGGACAAAATATATACATTTGGGTTATGGGATCATAATTGCGGAGGATGCCGTGAAGGTTAGTATCTTTGATGCAATATGTGAAACTAAGAAAAAATGGTGAAGTGTATTTAGAGTTTAGAAACTGAAAACGGTGGTGTGGTTGTCTTGATGGAGTGTGTAGGTCAAAATGATTGTATGAAGCGATAATATGTATATGTGTGGGTTTGTTTAGTGCGTAACATAATGTCGTGTGAGCAGTGCAAATCGCGTTCATGTGGTGCAAGGAAGTGGAAGGTTAGTGAAAATAATTGAAATTTTTCTTTAAAACTTTCGTAAGCTTGCATGTCGGTTAGTGCTTCAGAAATGACGTGGTCGAATTTGCGATCAAATATATTGAGTGTAAATACATATGGTGTTTTGATGAAGAATTTTTCTGTTAGTTGTGGGTTAGCGAAGCGATCATCATCTAAAAATTGGTCTTGGTTAGTTCGTATGATGTTATGATCGTAATATTCTAGCGTAAATTCGTTAGCTCGGGGTGCAGTGAATGTTTTTAGTGATTTTTTATATCCTATATAAGTAAATTGTCTATGTGTGAGTGATGTGGTGAGTCGATATAGCATATCTTGATTTCTTTCTATATCGATGTGAGTATTAGATAAAGGTAGGCAAAGGGGATTAGTAAAATGATAATATGATGTCCAATGAAGTGTAGGCATTAAAACATGTTCATCTACAAAACTACGTGTGTCGTTAGGGGTGTTTAAAGTATATTGTGGAAATGAAGGTAAGGTGATTGCTAGAAAATCTTTCGTGTTAGTGTGACGTGGATGATTAATATATTCACGGGCTGTTCCTGGTTTGGTTGGGAATGGATGGTTTGGGAATTTTCTTTAAAAAGTGCGATAAGCTCTATTAGTGCTTTTTGATGATTCGGTGGAAGTGGATGATTGTGCTAATGATGCAGAATAAGCTGAAGAGGGTGTAGGGGTAGGTGGGTTTGAGGATTCTATTGTGGAAGAAATCTGATTTATAGTGGGGATGTTAGGGTGTAATAGTTGTTGTTGTAGGGTGATAAAATTTTCGATTTCTTGGGAGATTTGGGGAATATCTGGAGAATTGGATGATCGGTCTGAATGAAATGAGTAGGTTGGGGTGACTTGTGAAGCATAAGAGGGTGTAGAAATGGATGGGAGTTGGTTACTTGGTGGGATTGGTTGAAAAGGGGGTTTTGAAAAAACTGAGGAGTTGGTTTGAAAATTATTGGATGGAGATGGTTCGGAGTCTGCAAATTCATCAGGGGTTTCAATATTAGGGTTATTGAGTTGTGAAATGGAGTATAAAACTGAAATACTTGAATTAGTGTCTGAATTCATGCCTGATGTTATATTACTAGTTGGGAAATCGGGTGGCGGGAAAGCAAAAAGTGGAACTATTGTAATTGGAGTGTTGAGGTTGGTTGGATGGGAATTTGAGCGGTGTAGGGATCCAAGTTGTCGGCTCATCGTGGGCTAAAAAAATTATTATTTTGAGACTGAAAAGCGGTGGTATGGGGTTGTTCGATAATTTGTTCATATGTATTTTCATCTTGTGAATGATGTGTCATTATATGTTGTATGGGACTTTGCGATATGTTTGGTCTAAAATTTGGATTATGTGTTATTGCTAAATTTCAAAAATTTCGTGGGACTAGGGATAATGGATGCTTATGTGGTAAGGGTGGCAACTGTGGTGCTGTAGGCGTTATTTCTATATTATTATGTTCTTCGTCGTACGTGTTGTCTTGTCGCTATTTTTGTGTTATATTCTTTTATTTGTGCGTCTAAAAGAATTTTGTTTATTGATGATGAAAAAATTCCAAAAAATCCTGCAAATAGTATGCGTGCTACACTTGCTTGTCTATTTACTTGTGTGTGTATAGCGCATGTATTATAGATTCCTTTTAAAAGTGAAAAGAGAAATCCTATAAAGTTAAACATTGCGTATAAAATAGTTAATTTTTCTAAGATGTAATAGGGCCATCCTAGAAAATCAAGAATTTCATTTTTTAATGTGACAAAGCTAAAGATATTTATGGGTGAGATATCTTGTGGTCGGTATTTTTCACCGTTTAGATATATATATAGTCTTTTATGTCTTTAAAATATCCGCTATCATCTTGTGTATAGATATCTGCAAATCCTGCGGTTTC